TGTTAATAGTCCTTTAAATCCCAGCGACATATATATACGTCCTCATGCTGCTATTTGACAAAAGCGTCTTTAGTGTGTTTTTTAATTGTTTAGAAGAGCTTGAGGGTGTGTGAGTGTAGGCGCTCGTATGAGGGCATCATGATTTACTGAGAATTCAATCTTATTCACACCCCCACTCTCTCAAATCATATTAATATTTTTATTTTATTTTTAACAACAAGAGAGATTTTCTTATAGCTGAACGTAATCTTGACAAACCAATTTGAAAGAAGATTCTAGATTTTAGTTGTTCATGAAATTTAATCATTTTTATTAAATCCTTATCAACTTCAACTAGTTTTTATCTCATAATAAATAGTTTTTATTATTCATAAAAATAATTCAAATTATTTCTTCAATTATTCTATTTAGATGTTTTTTCTAAGCAATTCCACTTTGAAATGTCAGTATAGATTAAGAACTAATAAAACCACTTTCAAATTGTTGCTCTTTTCTACGAATTTTAAAAACTTTCAATGAGAAAACAAAACCATAACGAAAATCTTGCCACGAAAAACTTCACTGATTTGAAACTAATTAATAACTTAGTTTTTCTTTGATGAAAAAGAAGAAAATTTTTAATTTTAATAATTTGATTTTGAAAAAAAAGAAAAAATTAAAATAAAAAATATTTCAAAAATGGCTTCGTATTCAAAAACCAAAATAAAGAAAATCTTGTATTTTTAATTTCTTCTGAAAAGCAAAACGAATCTCTTTAATAGATTTTATTATTAATTTTTTATTTTCATTCAACTCCTTTATCTATTTTTCTTTCAAACCTCTATTTTTGTTTTTATCTACATAAAAATATTCATTATTTTATTTTCAAATTGCAAATCAAATTTGTCTCGATTGATTTCATTTTGTAAAATTATTTTCCAATTTAATAATTTTTGTTTAAATTTTATTAAATCAAAAAATCAAAAAGATTTGATTAATTTTCTTCAAATAAAAATACTCAAATACAATTTAATCAAACATAAAACCTTCTTTTCTGTTCTCGAATGAATTTCAACAAAAACTAACAAAAAATAAAGAATTTAGGATGTACTGCATTTTTTCTTATGAAAACTATCAAATAAAATTCAACTTTAAAGAAAAAAAATCTAACAGATTTTTGTTTCTTGTTTTCTTATAAAAACTTATTTCATTTCTTTATTGATTCTGAACCATAAAACTTCACTTTTTCTTTTAATTTTATTTCTCGATTTTTATTCAATAAAAAGTTTCTTTTCTTTTCTTTAAAATCAAAAGTTCATTTACAAAATTATTTCAAATTTTGTAATTCGATGATTAGTATAATTGCCAATATAAAGATTTCCTTCATCATCAAAAGATAAACCACTCGGAGAATTCAATTGAATTCCTTCACCATTTCCAACAACAACAACTTCACCTTCTTCTTTTTCTTCACACCAACGCACTATTCGATGATTCCCAAAATCTGATATATATATTCGACCCAAATTATCAACAATTACTCCTTCAGGTGACGACAATTGATTGAGATTTCTTCCTTCACCATTTCCTCCAGCCACAACTGTTCCTTCTTTTGCATCTTTTCTCCATTTCATCACACGATGATTGCCTCGATCTGATACATAAACAGATTGATCTTCATCAACAAACATAAAAGTAGGAGAATTGAGTTGATTAAGTTGATTTCCTTGTCCATTTCCACCTGCCACCACAATTCCTTCGTTGTATTCTCCCATTTTCCATCGTCTCACTTCATTCTTCTTATAATCATTAGCATAGAGAAATCCATATTCATCCATTGCCAGACGAGAACAATCAATATTGTTAATGAGAATTTGTTGCTTTTGATTCAACCATTGAATCACTCGTCTGTTTTGCCAGTCGGCAATGATGATCGAATGATTTTGTTGATCAACAATTATATCTGTTGGATAATTCAATTGATCCATTCGATTTCCTAGCCCATTTCCACCTGCAATGATTTGTCCTTCCTTTGCATTATATTTCCATTCAACAATTCGATGATTAAAACGATCAGCAACGAAGATGTTTTTCTTTTTATCAATAAAGATTCCTTCAGGATGATAGAATTGATTTAATTTCTCTCCTTCTGCATTTCCACCAGCCACAATGATGGCATCTTGTTTCCATTTGTTGAATTTTGGTTCTAGAAGAAAATCAGAATAAAGATTTTTATGAAAAGAAGAAGAGGAAAAGTTGTTTTTCATCGAGGAAAAAAGAAAAGATTAGCTTTCAATGAAACTTTGGTTTATTTTTTGTTAAAGTTGAATTTCGAATAAAATTTTCATAAATATGTTTAATGAAAAGACAAACTTTATTTGATATTTTTTTTTGAATTTTGGAAAAAATTCTATTGAAAAAGAACATAATTAACATTTGAAGTTTGGTACTTGGAAAATAAAAATAAAATCTTTTGAAAAGAAAAAAAAGAAAAGTCTTTGAATGTTTTTTCGAATAAAATTTAATGAAATGAAGCGAAGAAGTATTTTGTTTCGAAAAGAAAGAATATTTTTATTGCAAGATAGTTTATTTGTGAAATAAATTCGTAACTATTTAATTTGAAGAGAAAAGAACAAGAGAAAAGATTTCGTTGATTATTTTGGGTAAATAAAAATTTGAAAATAATTCAGTTTTGTTTTTTATCAATTAGATCTTTTTTAAAACATTGAAGAAAAATTACTTTTTTAATTTAATATTATTTCATATCCTATTATTCTTTCCTTTTACATACAAATAAATGGAATTTTCTATTTCTATTAATATTATATTGTTATTGGTTTTACTAATAAATAAATCAATAATATTCTCAATCATTTTTCTCTTCTTCATAGTTATTTTTCGCTGTATTAGTTTTTCAATATAATTTCATCGGAAACTAGTATGTTTCTCTTATAAATTATTTCTTAATAACTTACTTTTTGATAGAATAATTGAAATTTCATTAATAAATGATTGTGGATCTTCTGGAATAGAAATATTTAATGGATTATTCAATTCTTCTGTAATTGTTCTTAATTGATTTCTTAAATAGGTTAAATTAATTTCATTAAAGTCATTTTGTATCTGAAGTTGTTGTATTTGTTTATTTAAGTTATTAAATTTCGTTTCAATATCATTAATATATGTTTGTAATGATCCAATGACCATTTTTCGACAATCTTTTGCTTTTTGTTTGATTTTTTCAATTGAAACTTCTTCCCATCGATCAATTTGTTGTATTAACGAATAATTTTGTGAACTTTTTTTTTGCTTATTAATTCTTTCTTTAAATTCATTATAATTATCAACAATATGATGAAGTTCTTCATTTAATCTTTGGTGATGTTCTGGTATATGTATAAAACAAAATCTTTTCGAACATCCTTCACAAGTATATGTATTCTTTTCTCTATCACATGTAAAACATTTTCTTTTATTGTTTGCCATGTGTTTGAATAGAAGTCTACAAAACAAATGAATATCTATTTATCTACTTTTTTAGATATAAACGTAAGAAAGTGTTTATGCGCACGTGTGCATGGTTAGTCAGCTGTGTACACACAAGTGTATGTGGCTGATTAACTATTTACGTAGATAGCTGTAACCATTTTACTAATAAATATAAAGTCAGACTATTATCTTTTATGTACTTCTATCTTAATATAAACTTAATATCTTATCTTTTTAATAATTTTATTTTACTTTGTATCATGCAATGTTGTATTTTAAATTAAAATTCATAATTTAATCGAGCCGATTCTTGATTTAGTCTTGTTCTATATTTTATTTATCTTAGAAGAGAATCAGTATGATAGCATACATACGTTATATTTTGCTATTGAAAACGATGGAAGAATTCTTTAATTTATTTGTCATTATATTTCGTTAGAGGATGTTTAACATTCACTGTTTGATAATACTTAGAGAATAAAAACAATTGCATTCAAATGATGAAATAGGCATCATTTTTTATGTGTTTTATTTTCATTGCATAAGATAAACTTTAATAAAATATTATTTATAGATTTCTTTAGAGAAAAAATAAATTCAATAAATAATCTATATATCTAAGACTAATAATATCATACTAAAGTTTTTTTTCTTAGAGACTATCTACAAGACATTCAAAATAATCTTTGTTTAATTTAACTCTAACCTATTGATATTATCTACAAATAATTTTTTGCTTTTTACAAATTTTCTTTTCCTTCTTTGTCGCAGCAACAGTATCAAATTGATTTTGATTTTAAATTAAAATATTTTTTGAGATTGAGTTCATTTTTGTTTGACAATCTTTATAATATTATTTGTATCATCATTTAATGATTGAAATAAATCAGTCACTGTCAACATTCAATGTTGATTTTTTTATCCATACAAATGTTTATTATACAATAACCAAGCTGAAGGAAAAGATTTTATATAATATTTTTCGTAGCAAAGCAAAATCTAAGAATGGAGTTTATTAAATTATTTCCAATACAAACTAAATAAGATAGAATTGTTAGTATATTCTTAGATATTTGAATAAATGTATGATATTCATCGCTAAGATATGAAATAAATACTTCAAAAGTTTTAAAACTTGATTTCGTATCTCATCAACATATTATAATAGAATTTATTCATTTTTATTAAATACAGATTTCGAATGAATTTGGATTAGTTTAGAAATAAATTACTAATTACATTTGAACATATTCTTTTGCTTTACAGATTTTATTTGTTGAATGATTTTCTAAATGAAATATTTAATAATAAACATCAAATTTAAATAAAAACATATAAGGAGAAAATGAAGTTATAGATAAAGATAATTTTATATAACAATAAAGCTTGATTTTATTAGAGAAATTATTCATATGTGGACAACAAGACCGAAAAACTATCTCTATCTAATCGCTATTGTGTTTAGATGAATCATTACATATAAAATGAAACTAACCTGTAAGTTTTCGATTTGTTTCATGATAAATACATTTAATAATATGGTCAATATTATGTCGGAGTTAGTTTGTATCTAATGATATTAATTCTGAATGATTAACTGAAGAAAATATTAAACATGAATATCCATCATCTCAATTTAAATCTGATACAATTATCATGCATTGGTTCTCCTATTTAAGAAAAAAAATCTTTTATATGTTCTCATTTTATATAAGGATGAGCTATCAGTGTGGACATTGATTTTTGAATGATTCATACCCACATCCAGCCAGTATTTTGGGTGAAACTACCCATTCTTAGTGAATGTCTTCCTCTCAGGTGGCCACATTCAATGCGAAATTAAATTTAGAATCTATCTAGAGACCTGTCTCAAATTCTCTCGGTGCATATCAAATCACAGAAATAATTTTTATTTTACTTTTGAGAACAAAAGATATTTTTCTGCAGTTACATGTATTGTTGACAGATTAATCTGACATATATTTACAAAATTGATTTTATCATGAAACTTAATCATTTTTATTATCAACAAAATTCATTTCAATTCGATTTTTATTCTCAATTTTTCATAAAATATGTCTTTTTCTTCAAGTTTTATCAAATAGAAAAAAACAACAATATTCGATTATTTTCATCAAATAAAAATACTCAAATAGAATATTATCAAAGGCAAAATCTTCTTTTCGAATAGTTTTTATTTCAATTCAAATCAAATCACAAAATATTATCTTTTCTTTTCCTTTGGAAAAATCAACAAAAGGTGAAAAAATTAACACTTATTTTTTGGAATTTTTAATCAAAATTACTAAACTAAATTCCAGTTTTATGAGAAAAAACCAGGAAGACTATTCTTCGTTCCTTTGTTAAAATATGTCTTTTTCTTCAAATTTAAATCGATTTTTTTCATTCATTTCCAGTAATAAAACGTCGCTTTTTCTTTTGTTTCTCGGTTATTTATTTAACAAAAAAAGTTTTTCTTTTTTTCAAAACCAAAATTTCATTCACAAGATTGTTTCAAATTTTGCAATTCGATGATTATTATGATCACCAACATAAAGATTTCCTTCATCATCAAAAGATAAACCTGTAGGACAATCCAATTGATTTGATTGATTTCCTTTACCATTTCCACCAACAACAATTTCACCTTCTTCGTTTCCTTCACACCAACGCATTATTCGATGATTCTGACTATCTGCCACATAGATTTGACCTAAATTATCAACAATTACTCCTCGAGGTCCAAATAATTGATTTAGATTTCTTCCTTGACCATTTCCTCCAGCTACAATTGTTCCTTCTTTCGCATCTTTTCTCCATTTCATTACACGATGATTCTCTTGGTCCGATATATAAACAGATTGTTCTTCATCAACAAAGATGAAAGTAGGAGAATTGAGTTGATTAAGTTGATTTCCTTTTCTATTTCCACCTGCCACTATAACTCCATCGTTGTTGTATTCTCCCATTTTCCATCGTCTCACTAGATTCTTCTTACAATTAGAAACATAAAGAAATCTATGTTTATCCATTGTCAAGCCAAAACAGTCGATATTCTTGATGAGAATATGTTGATTTTGATTCAACCATCGAATCACTCGTCTGTTCCAACGATCAGCAATGATAATCGACTGATCTTGTTGATCAACAATCACATCAGTTGGACAACTCAATTGATTCATTCCATTTCCTTTTTTGTTTCCACCTGCAACGATTTGTCCTTCTTTTTCATTACATTTCCATTCAACAATACGTTCATTTTCAAAATCAGCGATGAAAATATTTTTCTGTTTATCAACAAAGATTCCTTCAGGGCGACTGAGTTGATTTAACTGTTGTCCATTTCTATTTCTACTAGCCATAATGATGGCATTTTGTTTCCATTTGTTGAATTTTGGTTCTAGAAAAAATAAAAACAAAAGATTTTGATGAAAAGAAGAAGAAAATGTTGTTATTTATCGAAGAAAAAGAAAAGATTCATTTGGAATGAAACGTTATAATAAATATATTTAATAAAGAGACAAATTGTATTTTATTTCTCTAATATATCAAGAACTTTAAAATAATTCAATTTTGTTGTTATCAATCAAACATCTTTTGAAACTTAGAAGAAAAAGTTTTTTAGTTAACTTTTATTTCATATCTTATTATTCCTTTTTTTCATACAAATATGTTTAATTTTCTATCTATATTAATATAATTGTTATTGATTTAATTAATAAATAAATCAATAATATTCTTGGTTTTTGTATCTTCTTTATCATTGTTTTACGTTGTATTACAGTTTTTTAATATAAGTCCATAGAAAATCTAAGTTTTTCTTTTAGAAATTCTTTCTTAAAAACTTACTGTTTTCTAATAAAATAACTGAAATTTCATTAATAAATGATTGAGAGTCTTGTTGAATAGAAGTCTTTGATGGACTATGTAGTTCTTGACTAATTTTTATTAATTCATTTCTTAAATGGTTCAAATGAATCTCATTAAATTCATTTTCACTGTAAATTTGTCCTAGTTGTTCATGTAAATCATTAAATTTCTTTTCAATATCATTCAAAAATGTTTGTGAAGATTTAACGATAATTTCTATGCAATCATTTGCTTTTTGTCTAATTTTGTCAATTGAATTTCTTCTCCATTGATTAA